AAATGCTTTGAGGTTTATATAAAATCTGGTCATTGGCTGCCTATAATTTATTGTTTAGTTACTGTTTGTGTGGCTCTGTGCAGAAGCTATAAATTTCTGGCTTGTGTTTTTAGCTGAGACTTTCCACATTTAGTTTTGCTGAGTTTGACTTCTTGATGGTTAGCTTGTAATTAACAGTGCATTGTATTTTAGAAGGCAATGAGTAAAAGGTATGTTTGTAAGGCTGCTTAACTTATTCTTTTAATACAAAAATGCTAACTTGCAGATGTGATAGACTTAAGGCTTTCAAATCTAGCACTGCTTTAGCAACCTTTTAGCTTTTTATATTAGTTTTGCAGCCAGAAAATTTGCCATTTTTGGTCATACCATACAGCACCACATTTGGCAAAGACCAAACACAGCATATCAGCACAAACACCTCATACCAGCTGTCATGCACCGTGGTGGTGGGGTGGAGATTTGGGCTTGTTTTGGAGTTACAGGACCTGGACACCTTACAATCATTAAGACAGCCATGAACTGTTCTGTATATCAAAGTATTCTAGAGTCAGATGTGAGGCCATCTGTCCAAAAGTTAAAGCTTGGTCCAAACTGCATCATAAACAGGACAGTGATCCCCAGCACAGCAAATCTACATCAGAATGGTTGCAAAAGAAACAGAAGAAGGTGATGGCTCAGCCCAAGTCCAGGCCTCAGCCTAGGTGAAACACTCTGGTACTGCCAGATGATTCTTCCTGTTTAAAGGGAGTTTTTCCTTCCCATTATCACCAAGTGCTTGCTCATAGGTGGATGTCTGACTGCTGGGTTTTCTCTCTATTATTACAGGGTCCTTAAAATATAAACCCCTTTAAAGTTACTCTTGTTGTGATTTGGATTGTATTGATTTGAACTGTATACAGAAAACAATGTGTACAACAAAATGTAAATTTTTTCTTAAGTCAACAAAGCACAAAAAAGTCTTCTTCAGGTTGACACAAACAAAACTTCTAGTTAATATTATTGTTCCTCCTAGTCTGCTCATATGAACCTCTAAAATGACCTCCAAATGAAAACACAAGCAAATAAATACACTGATTACTTAAGTTACTGCAATGTTTATATTATTAATACTGTTAGTTTTACCTGTTAATCTGAAACTCACGTTCAAGATGGCAATCTGTCATGGCAGATAGTTCACTCACACATAACTTAGATACTTCAAAGTCCAGCATACCAGTACTTTTTCTATCTGGTAACTTCCCTGACTGCCAGAATCAACTTCCTCTACTCTTAAAACCACTTAAAAAATAAAAGTCTTATGCTTTTAAAATTAAGTGAAATAATCTGCTATGTTCAGAGGAGGTGCGGTAATCAGTCAAGAATCTTAGGAGTATGTTCAAACCTGTAGCCACTGCTGGGGGGGCTTCACACACAGAGAAGCAACACACAGCTAGCGCTGCTCTCTCAGCAAACTGCCAGCTTTTGTCAGCCAGCAGATGTTCCATTGTTTGGCTCAGTGGTGTAGGGTTGCCTCAGTTAAAGTTGGGACACTTGCTGCATCTTTTGAATTTAGCCCCATTGAGTGCCATCAACCCCTCCCAACCCCCCGTTCCCCCAAAAGCTACTCAGAGAGGGGCTTTACCCCTCCCCTCTGTCCCCTTTAACCCCCCGACAGACCTCATAGTTGTTGTCCCGCAACCGCAACTCCCACCACCACCACTACAACTTTTACCCTCCCCTCTCCCCAGGTCCTTGGGTCAGACCCCTACCCCCGACACACAAAGGCCAATTTATTGACCAGTTACTGCAAAGCGAGGCTGATGCAGGGCGTTTTTGCATCAGTATACCTTTAAAGTGCTCGAATGCAAATGCACACACATCCAAGGACACATATAAGTACTCTAGGTCTGCATTATCAGATGGCAAAGGTGCAGAAGCGTCTGTTCGTTTTGCATAGTTACAATTCCTTCTTTTCAACTGCAAGGCATGACAGTCAGTGACTGCTGTTGTCAGAGAGGTCTATAGTGTCCACCTCTGTGGAGATTATGCAATAATGAATGCCCTGTTTTTCCCTTTCCCGCTATAAGCCTGCGTGTGTGTTCTTGTGAAAGACAGAGAAACCTAGGAAACACATGAGCAGCGCAGACTTCCTGTTTTTGTGAAGAACCCATTGGAGAAGGCAGGAAGTGAGGGGAACTGCTGCTATGTATTTTTTTTCTCACAACATAAAGGTAGATGTGTTTAATTAAATGGCAAGGAATTAGGATAGGGATATGGAGTACATTGTGGTCCCTTTTAGTGATCTATGTCACCATTTCAGCATACAGCCCGGGCCCTTTAGCGTGATTGTGTGAGCTTTCTTGTGCGCAATAACAGTATAGAATAGAATAGAATAGAATGCCTTTATTGTCACTATACAGTTGTACAATGAGATACAGAGCATCTCCTACTCAGTGTAAACATGTGGGGGGGGGGTACAGTTCTGCAGCGCTATGTACATATGGACAGTATTAACATAGGGAAAAACATATATATATAAAATGTACAATATACAAGCCGTAAGTAATATGTAATAAATAGTGTTATGTATATACAGTTGAGTTATTGCACATAGAATTGGTATAAATAGTGTATGTATTTGCACGTGTGTGTGGCTGTGTGTTTTTGAAATATAAATTAAGGAGGAAGCTAAAACCAAATAAAACCCCAGTAAGAACAAAGAATCCGGTGCTGGTGAACATGCCTGAGTGGCTGCTTTCAAGGACTGATTAAGGTTATAATAGTCATCTGGCTTGCCTCAAGCCTTCAGGCTGTGTGTTTGGGGGAGGGGGGGGGGGGGGGGTTTGTTCCCTGCGCCTTTAAGGAGTGAGGGTAAAGGGGGTGGGGGGGTGGAGGGGTGGTCGGTGCTTCTACTCTCTTTGTTCTGCCCTGCTCCACTCATGCCTTCTCTTTGTCTCCACCCACTAAAGGACCTTTATCTCTATTGCAGTCTCGCGCCAAAAAGGGAGGTGGAGCTGCATGTTGCTTCTTCTTCTGCTTCTTCTTTAGCCTTCTTCCATTCTGTTTGTCTTTTACGGTGTATCTGATTTTGCAGGATAAATGAAGGTACAGAGTCCAGTCAGTGCAATCCCAGACTCCCTCTTTATTCCTATTTATAGTGTTTCTGTGTCCTTGTTAACATTTCCCGCCACTACAGGGTGCATCAGGCGGGGAGTGGTTTAACAGCCGGTATGAAGAAAGGCTGGCTCTTGTGAGCCTCAGGCCAAATGCTGGCGTTATTCAAATCAACTTGGTGGGTGCGGCCCAACTGTCTCTGTGTCCTGTTAACCCCCTAAGAGTTTCAGGCTATAACACAAAGGCGAATATAATTGTAGGCTCAGGGATTTGCTTCTTAAATGGCAAAAACATCAGTGATGTTGTGCAGATAGCACAACTGCAATTTTTACACAATTACAACTAATAGGAAAGATGCTGATATAGTTTTGTTAACATATACCCTTTTATTGCTCCTGATACTCATGCACACTGCCGTATGCAAAGCTTTATTGTCACATTTTACTGGGTTTTCTTTTATCTAACATTTGGTCTTATATTTGGGGTTATTTTTCTATTATTATTTGTTAGAAAATAATAATAGCAGCAAGGACTGAAAAGTTTAAATGTTTTAAGACAGCAGTGTACTACAGTTTAACAACTTCCTCTCTCACACTTGCAAAGTTTCTATTCCACGTCCTCTGTTTACAGCCCCGTAAAAGATGAATGGAGCTGTGAAGTAGTCAGAACATGCAGAGAGTCACAACCAAGCCTCTACTACACTCTAGTGGATGTAAGTGTCACATGCAAAAAAAAGAAAAAGAAAAAAAGAGTGATGCTGCTGACTCCTCTGCACTTATTTGTCTTTTCCAAATCAGTTCTAGTGCTGAGCCAGGGGCACAGGCCTCCCACAGCTTTGTGACATGGTGTGTTATCCTGCTGGAAGCAACCATCAAAAAACGTGCACTTTGGTCATACGATCAGCAAGCTGTGGCATGTTTAAACAACACTTAATTGGTACTAAAGGCCCTGCAGTGTGCACCAGACTGAACTGTTGATAAAGTGCAGAATGGATCCATACTCACTCATGCTGTTTGACTTACTGTTGCCTTCCTTCCTAGCTTTTGTGGCCTTTCCCCTCCAGCCTCTTGTATTGACAAGACATTTTCATGTTTTCATTTCTTTGTTGTCTGTAAACTTTAAAGATGGCTGTGGAAAAATCCCAGTAGAGTAGCAGTTTCTGAGATACTCAGACCAGCCAGCAAACGTGTCACACTCAAAGTTTTCCCCTGTGCTGATGCTCATTCTGAGAATGTCGTGTTGTTCATGTCTACATGTCTAAATGGATTAAATTGCTGCCATGAGGTTCACCTGTTTTGCCTGTATTGTGTTGTGCTGACATGCAGCTGAACAGGTGTACCTAACAAAGTGAACATTACTGGTGGAAATGTGTGAGACCACTTCTAGATTAGACATCATCATTTGGAGCAGAAAAGAGGCATTAACACCTCAAAAAGGCATACCAGTGTGAACTACAAATTTATGCCAGAATCCACAGGTCTGTGATTTCCTCCTCACTGTTTGAACAAATAGGTTGTAAATAATTTCAAGCTGATGCAAAACATACTTTCCTTCCTGCCTGCCTGAAAATTTGCATAAATGTACATTGTTAATAATACAACAAATCTGTGTATTAATAATTAATCAAAGCTGCTGTATGAAACTAAAAATGCAAAGCTAAACTTCAGAAAAACAAACAAACAAATACAATAATAGAAACTATGAACTGAATCAACAGTGTCAGATTTGTATTTCTTACATCTCCTCATTTTGAACACTTACTTCTTCACTTGCTCTCTAACATATCTACTGACAGTGCAAATATCTAAATGAACACATATTTATCTGATGCTACACACACACACACACACACACACTCACTCACACACAGACACACACTCACTCACACACAGACACACAGACACACACACACACACACACATACACACACACACACACACACACACTGAGCCAAAAAAAAAGTCCATTAGTTGTCTTCAATCCATAATAGTAATCCAGAGAATCAACAAAAGCTCTTTGTGTCTGGTACGTGGAGGAGCGTGTGTGGTCACAGCTACACATATATTATCCCGTCGGGGAGCGTAATCATGTGAGCTGCTGTATTGGAAAGATAAGTGTAATCAACCCTGATGTGCAGCTTTATGCAATTTGGTTGTCAGTTCCTGTAAAATATAACACACATTTAACCCATGCGGGTCTGTTTCCTATTTTACTCCTTGCATGGGCGTCTGCTCAGTATCGTTTTCCCAGAAACATCTTTAGCTGCTGAATTGCCTGTTTGCTGTGATGAAAGCCCAGCTAACACTATTAATAATGCATTCATGTTCTTCAAAGCACGACATGCACTTTCATCTTTGTTTCCTGCATCACCTGCCTGTTCCTCTGACTGATGCCAGTGTTTTCTTGGGAGGCGGGCTGCACTGCCTCTTGTGTCCACACAGCCAATCAGCTCTAGATGTTGTGCTGGAGTCCCAGCCTGTCTGACTCTGTGGCCGTTGCTTGGAAACTGCGACCATGGCTTTGTAATTCAATCCAAGGAAACATCCTCAAGGGATTAAATGGGAAGGAGGCAAGGAGGCATTATTTGTAAAAGCATGGGGGAGAGTAAATGACCCAGGATGGACTCGATTTCTCACACTGCTGAACAGGAGCAGGAAATGTTAGTGGTGAGTGGAAAGCACATGGGATGCAATGTGCATAATTACTCTTGCAGTTAAATCTAATATAATAATAAAATGCACTAATAATAATAACAACAATAATTATTATTATAATCACAGCCCTAATCATAGCTGTAATGTTGTGCTCTGTGTTATATCAGATCTCTACATCTCTAGGCAAGGAGGGCTATATTTCAAGCATCGTGACACATCCCTCCTCTGACACACCAGCGTGCTCTGTCCAATAGGCAGCAACAAGCAGTTGCCACACACTTTCTCACGTGCTGTAGTACTGCTCCAGGAAGTTAGACACTGAAAGGGTTAATAAAGAGGAGGAGGATGCAAAATGGTTTGAAGTCAGTAATGTGTGTGTGAGAGAGGAAAGAGAAGCAAGGAAGAGCTGAGGAAGGAATGTCCTAACACGCGTGATGCTAGAGACAAAAAGGGAAGTGCTTGCAGCTCGAATTCAGCCCTTTTCCTGAATCTCTCTCCATCCTCATCCTGCAACCTCTCCCTGCTGCTCCGGCCTTATTAGAGCTACATTATAGCTAAGTGGCTCTGCAGCTGCAGCAATCAGGCTGATCTCATCTCTTGAGTGCAGCAGGACTGAATTCAAATTCTAAATGTGTGAGAGTGAGTGAGGACTTTGTTGGGAACTCCTGCCAGGGAGAGAGAAGGGGACTAATAAAGTGAGCCATCGAGGGGAAACGCTAGGGCTCAGTGTGGTCCTGGAGGAGAGTGGCGAACCACAGAGGTAAGATGAATCTAAACAACGGCCAAAGTCTGAATGTCGGCGGACAAGATTTCACCAAGAATGGAGGCAACAGCAGCCGAGCCCCTTGGGAAGATGCGAGGACAGTTTTGAGGCCCTCGACCCCCACCAGGAAACCTAAATCAGTGAGTATCTATACAGCCTTTTGTTTACAGTATCCATTTACACTTACAGAACGGGTACTATTAATTATACAACGCAAAAGGAGATTCTCCTTGCACATAATTCAAGTTAAAATGAAAGCGTGACAATTGTACTCTTATTTATCAGCCAAGGCAGATTCATGTTCACTATTCTTGCCTGTAGTGTCAAAGAGTTATGTCATCTTATGGATGACAAATGACAGAGTGCAGACACACAGAGCCACTCAACATTCTCAAAACCAGGGGGAGGGTTGAAACAGGTCTGCAATGCATCATTTATAGCTTTGGGTTAACTGAAAATAAAAGCACATAACAATGTAGTTCAGTGAAACAGGATAGTATAGGAGGCATGGTGCAGCTGTATTGTGTTGCCTGGAGACTGAGCGAGGTACAGATGGGTCTTGTTTCGGGTCAGTAAAGTGACCTCATTTGGACTTTTTTTCTGGAGGGGAAGAATCGAAATTTCACCCTGCCAGGTCGAAGTCATCAACGGTGATGACCTCAGCCTTAGCGCTAACCCTAATCTTTGCAATCATAATATACAGTTCTGTCTGTGAAGGTTCTCAGTCATCCAGGTCATCGTAGTCAAAGGAGCTTGCAAAGAAAAGCGTCTGGACTTCTTTAAGTTACTTGAAGACTCTGGCTGATTGGGACCCACACCCAGTTTCACACCTTGGCTCAGGCGATTAGAGGATCATCAGGGGGTCCTTTTGTCCCTCTGTGGGGGGATACTCCCACAGGGTTTATATCTGGGACTCTCCACCATTTGACCTTAGAACTGAAGAAGCTTCTCGGATGAGAGGTGAAACGTCTTCAAGCAACTTAAAGAAGTCCAGACGCTTTTCTTTGCAAGCTCCTTTGAATATACAGTTCTGTTTTTTTTTGCTTTCTTCCAAAACATAGATGAAGATTCAGAACTTACAGGGTTAAAATCTGAAACACCTAAAACTTAAAGCGCATTAAGAACACAAAGAATTGTCTAACCTGGGAATCTGAGAGAAATATGTCCTGATTCGATTAATACTTTTTAAGTAATCTGAATATTTTTCATCCTGTGGATTTCTTCGTGCTGTCAATTAAATAAAAGGGTGTGACAGCATATTTCTAAGTTTAGTGGACTCATAAACACCAAAGTATTTTCACAAAAGGAAACCTTTCAGATTATGCAAGCAATTTAAACGCCTCAGTCTTTAAAGAGTTAACAGGTGTCAGCCCTTCTGGTGTTTGGACCTACACTATCAGGCTCTGAGGAAAGTATGTTATATCATGCTGTCACTTCTATTCTGTCACATCAGCTCACTCAGTTTATCTATTGTTGCATGCCAGGCAAGGTCAATAACATAAAGGTTTCATCAGGATCTTGTGCATGTTCTTGTAAAATTATAATGTCCCTTGTGCCTACGTTCAAGAAAAAAAATACAGCTCCCTACCCAACTGGGTAACAATCTCAGCTCCTCTCATTCAGAATGCTCCTTTCATTCACGCTCCAGCCAAAGCCTGAAAATGCCATCACCATCGCCGTGTCATCTCGAGTCCTCTTCAACATGGAGAAGGAGCAGCAGATCTATGAACAGCAAGGCATGGAAGAGTACATCAAGTACCAAGTGGAACACGAAACGGAGCCATTCAGCCCCGGACCTGCTTTCTCCTTTGTCAAGGTCAGAGACTGGGAAGGCAAAGAGCTGGAGAAACAAGCACACACACACATGCACACTAACGCAGAGAGAGATTCACTGTTGTCAGTGTTAGGTCGTGTCTCCGGAGGCGATGGATGAATACAAACCACAACCACAAACCCACTCAAACACATTCACACGTTTCCATCCCACTGCGGGGATACAGAATTACCCTGTTTGTATAACTGAAACCTGTCTGCTCGTGTTCCCAGGCTCTGGAGGCTGTGAACGCTAAACTGAGGGAGCTTTACCCAGAGAGCGAGGAGCTCTTTGATGTTGTGCTCATGACCAACAACCACGCAAATGTGGGCCTAAGACTCATCAATACCATTAATCACCACCGTGAGTTCCAGGGGCATCTGGGTGACATGTCCTTTTATCTGTTCTCTTCAGCAGTTGTCTTTTTAATTAGACCTTTAAAGGCGCAACATGTAGAATTTATATGTGGTTATGGCATTTTTAAAATTATTTGGTTACATAACCTTTCATTATACATAAAAAGTATTGGTCCACACCTTTTAATCTTTTAATTCAGGTGTTTTCAGTCCCATTGCCACAGGTGTTGTAAAATCAAGCACATAGCCACGCAGCCTGCCTTTACATTTGTGAAAGAATGGGTTGTTTTAAAGAGCTCAGTGAACTCGTGCGTGGTGCTGTAAGAGGATGCCACCATTGCAAGAAATCAGTTGATGAAATTTCTTAACTTTTAGATATTCCATCATCAACTGGAAATGGTATTATTACAAACCAGATGTTTTCAGGAACTGAGACACAAAGTAGCAGACCATGAAAAGCTACACAAGTGGATTCGCTGAGTGTTGAGGGGTATAACTGTGTAAAAGTCACCAGTTCTCTGCTGATTCTGCCAGAATTAAAACCTCCTCTGTCATTTTCAGCTTCATGCCATAAGCAGCTCCTGTACATGTATTCTAGTAGTCTTGTCCATATGTTGTACCTACAGAAAAAGACAAAAAAAATAAAAAAAATAAAATAAGAATATGGTGTGAATGGTTGTCTGTCCTTGTGTGTTAGCCCTGTGACAGACTGGCGACCTGTCCAGGGTGTACCCTGCCTCTCGCCCTATGACAGCTGGGATTGGCTCCAGCGCCCCCCGCGACCCTGAAAAAGGAAAAAGCGGTAGCGAATGGATGGATGGATGGTATTAATAGATAAAATTCATTAGAAAGTATTCCATTACGTTGTTTCCCCTAAAAAAAAATCTAAAAAAAGTCAAAATGCGTGTCAGTTTATTAATTTTTAATCAAACATTTCATATTTTCAAGGTAAATGAGCAATTTAAAAACTCACTGTAATATCTTAAGAAAGTGGTGTAAATAAAGTAGAAATATGATTGTTGATAATTTCTACAGAGCAGTCATGAAAAAGCAAGCACAAACAGTTGATCAGCATTTTGGGAAAGATTAAGGTTTGCTTTTATGTAGATACAACATTTAATATACATCTGAAGCTCACAGGATTCAAACAATAGATAATACAGAAGAGCTGGACAAAGCCACCATAATATTACCTATTGGCATGTGTTTTGAAACCCTTACTAAAGTGTTACCTGTATCTAGTAGCTTGACCATATTTGGATGTGGGTAGAATGCTAATGAGCTTGTTAACTTAGCATTCTTAGCTTAGACAACATGTACTGTTTGAGGGCCATGCACAGATGCAGACTAATAAAATAACCGCTACAAACAATCAACATAGCGACCATCATATCACTTCCTGGTTTGTGATGCATCATTATAGAGCCTCAACTGGATCAATGCAGGGCGCAGATCTGACTGTGAAACTGCACACCTGCTGGCTAAAGAGTTGTGACTGACATTTCATTAGCTAATGATTTTGAGCATACCCTGGATAATCCTTCTTTCTGAAACACAGATTTAGCAAAAAAATAACAAAAACTGACTTTTGTTTTATTCCACATGATTGTAACAAGTAACTGGAGCCACTGAGCCCTTAACAAATACACCCTTAAAATACATTTGAGAATTTTATGCCTAGCTCTTTATAAAAACTGAACTTTGAACTTTGGTATTGACTCATATTCTTCTCCAGCTGCTCTCCACAGCTGGCCGCCTCTGTTCCCACACTGTCAGTTATTTTATGACCCAAGTCCTTCCCAGGTCACACAGGCACACAAGTGTGCTTACAGACTCTCCTCAAGGCATTGCAGTATCCTCTGTTGACTAAATAAAAGGAAAAAGGATGGATAGAAAGAAAGAGAAGAGGAAAAGAACTGACTGTAATCTAAGAATCTCTTGTAATGTGAGGCTTCACTATTTAACCGAAGCCCCTTTTGTTTATTTCTTGGTTGAAGCGTGTCAATAGACTTCCACTCGGCTCAGTTTAAGGAGTCACTCGAGCCACACTGGATGAATAGAGACTGACAGTGGTTATAGTGGGATGTTTCTCATGATCCCAGTAACATAGTATGACCCCAATAATAAGTGGTGAGAGTTTGGGTCCTGGCTCTTTAGCACCCCATTACCATACTCACTTAAGAAAATCACAAAATCATGGCACTTTCCTTCTTTTCCTGGCTCTGCCTCCTCTGGATATTTTCTGCAACTAAATGTTAAGTAAAAGTGACCATTTTAATCATGTCCAGCTCCATTATTAAATTATTGGTTTTCATTAAAGTAGCATTGTTTGTATAATTAATGGAAACCCCTCACTTCTGCCTGCTTTAACAAATAGTCCAGGTTCCTGTGAAGTTGAATTCATAGCATTGTATTGGTGTCTGTTTGCATAGGTATTTGGTTATGCAGAGTTAAGGATTAAATATGCAACCTACGCTACATCCATGCAATCCTTCAGAAGCTGACAACTAGTAAACCCACAAGGGTTACACTGTGTATCGATAGATTGTTGACTGATTAAAAGTTCAGTTGAACAGCCCGGTGGAGTTCACCATGATGGGAAAGAAGCAAGAAAAAATTACGAATAATAAAAAAGTAGCATAATAATCATAAACACTGACTACAGTGGGTAGTTTGATTGTTTTGCTAGTGTCCTGCAAAATGTCTTTTTGAAACACAATTATCTCCCCCTGGTGGCTTTTAAAAATAATGCAACTTTAAGGGACACACACCTCTGGATATATTCCAGAGGAAGTACACACATATGTGTGTGTGTGTGTGTGTGTGTGTGTGTGTGTGTGAATATATCATCTGTGATCAGTGTTATTGACTGCCTCCTTAGCTTTTGATTTCTCCTTTCTGCAGAGCTGTTTATTGAGCGCTTCTGTATGACTGGAGGAAACAGTCCCATAGGATACTTGAAGGCCTATCACACTAATCTTTACCTGTCTGCTGACCCTGTCAAGGTTCGTGAAGCTCTGGCAGAAGGTGAGTACACAGCCTGCTTCTATTACTGACTCCTAAACAAAGTCCCTTAAAAAATGAAAAAAAGTAAGTGCCAGTCTCTGTGATGTGATAACACAGGTCTGCAAAAAACAGAAAAAAAGATTCAGCTGCATGGGATATTTTTGGTAAATTTTATGTTTTTTAGAGTTTTGAATCCATTTCCCTTCATCACATACACTTGTTGCTTTTTTACAAAAACACAATTAACTATGCATAATTTTTCTGAAATTCCTTATTTTTCCCTATGAACAAAATAAACCTGTTGGGACACCAGTGTGCATGCATGAACCATGTATGCAGCCTGTTACAGTTAATATTCTCATGTCTGTAATATTCCTTGTCAATATTCTTGATATTTATAATTGTCTCACTCTCAGAACGGTTAAATTAATATAAGAAATCATTATTGGATATGTTTTTTTTACTCAAGTATAGGATACCAGATTTCAGTTAAAAAGGGGAAATTTGACGTGAGTTTTGCAAGAAAAACCTGACAAGATGGAATTTAAATAATATTTTTCCCGGTTTCAATTGGTAAAAATCCATAAGAAACAGTTAAAAAAAAAATCCTATGTAGTTTTTTGGTTGCAGACCTGTATAATCAGTGTCCATGTATACAGCTAATTTTCAAAGATAACCGCTGTCAAATATGTGACCCAGGTATAGCAGCAGCCATCATGTTTACTCCGGAGAAGATGAAGGAAGTGTCGGACACTCAGCTCCGTGTTGCCTTTGATGGAGATGCCGTCCTCTTCTCAGATGAGTCTGAGCGGATTTGCAAGGCCCATGGACTGGACAAGTTCTTTGAGCACGAGAAGGCGCATGAAAACAAGCCTCTAGACCATGTACAGTATACACAGCGAGACATTTTTCCATTGGAGAATGATAGGAAGGGACACCAAAAGTCAAATAACACTCTTATTTCTTATAGAATTACACCTACCTACAACAGCCACCCAAATTCCCAAAAAGTTGGAAAGCTGTGTAAAATGTAAATGAAAATCAAAATCTCCACATTGTTTCACCACTGAAAACATGCAATTTTTAAAGTGAGACATTTTACTTTTATGGAAAACAGCTTATTTCGAGTTAGATGGCAGTAACTTGTCTAAAAAAAGTTGTGAAGAAGGCAAGAAAAGTCTAGAAAAGTGCGCAATGGACAAGGCTGAAAATCATTATAGGATATGAATGATCCTTAGGCAAGTGGCACTGCATTAAAAACAGACATGATTCTGTCATGAAAATTATTGCATGGGGTCAGGAATGCTTCCAGAAATCGCTGTCTGTGAACACAGCTCACCGTGTCATCCACAGAAAGCACACAAAGACGAAGCCATATGTGAACAGTGATCTCTAAACACCACTGTTCTGTGTACCGTGCATCATGAAATGAAAAACATGACAAGAATCTTACATCCAACAAGAATTGGACACCATTCCTCTTCCAAAAGCCCAGCGGCTGTTCTCCTCAGTTCTCAGATGTTTACAGATCGTTATTGAAAGAAGAAAGGATTTTGCTCAGTTGGGCCTGTCCCAGCTTGGATTTTTGTTTCTCAGTTTAAACATCTAATACAAAATATGGTTTTCAGAGATTTGCAAATCGTTGGATGTTCCTTCTTTTTGCTTACATTTTACACAGTGTAAAATTAAATCCGCTTGTAAAATCTACACATTGAGCTCAGTTGGCCTGAATTCAGTTGTAGTGTGTCTAACATGTAGTGAGTCACGTATACGTGCAGAAAGATTAACATTCATGAATCTGTCCTTCTTTCTGCAGGGGCCACTGAAGGGCTTCCTGGAGGTTTTAGGAAAGCTCCAGAAAAAGTTTTACGGTAAAGGTCAGCGGATGGACTGCCCCATCCGGACCTACCTCGTGACAGCTCGGAGTGCAGCCAGTTCTGGTACCAGAGCCCTAAAAACGCTGCGCTCCTGGGGTCTGGAGATCGATGAAGCTCTCTTTCTTGCCGGCGCGCCCAAAGGCCCAATGCTGGAGAAGATCAGGCCACATATCTTCTTCGATGACCAAATGTTTCACGTGGAGGGGGCAGCAGAAATGGGAACAGTGGCATGCCACGTGCCATATGGGATCGCTCAGAGAGTAGTAAAAAAGGGAACAAAGGACAAAGAGACTCCTAATGCATCCAAATAGCTGAGGTATCACTGTGCAGGAGCACAGCATACAGGGGCATTTACCTTCGGCTTTCATGATTTTACTACTGGAAGAAGTACGCTGTCCTGGATTAACAGTGCAGTTAGTTAATGCAATATCATAGAATTAAAAATATATATGTTAATATTTATCAAAACATTTATTTTTCGCTAACACGTAATTATTAGTTTAATCAGTAAGTAAAAAAATTACAGGTTGTATCAAATGGCTTTATTAATTAATCTTATTGATTTATATTAAGATATCAAACAGACATGTTTGATATGTTTATCAAACATGTTCATCAAACGGGGCGGCATCAGGGGCATGGGCAAATGTTTATGTTGCCAGGATATAAAAAAATCTTAACTATATAACAGGGATTGCTGTTGAAAATGCTGTTAACATTTTTTTTTAATAAAACATAATAAAACACAGAATTTATTGACAGAATAAAGAATGAACTTTCCACAAAGGGATTCTAGTCAACATGAATTCATCATCAGCTCATTCTGTTCTACTAAATCTGAATAAATGATTCAGGCACCATTATTACAAGTCATTAGTTATAAAACCCTTAATCATGAAGATTTCCTATTATAACCTGGTGCTTAAAGTGGTATTTTAATTTAACATTTATTCTTGGTGATTCATTTTCTCTACCAAACAGATATTTATTTTCTTTACTGCTATATGTTTAACTGACATATCTTATAAAAGAGAAAAAGCTATTTCAAAGTATTAGAAATACTCATACAACTCTAAAGGATAAATTTAATAGAATCTATAATTATCTCCAAATAATAATATTTAGACTCCAGGATACTAAAGAAACATGAAGGATACATTTTTGTTTTGTGGATTTGTGCAATTCATTCACTTTAATTCTTGTCTTCATGTCTGAGTTTTGCAAGCTGGTGCCTTCTGTTGTCTTCTGTTGTTTTATGATGTATGCGTTTATGTGACTTTTGCATGTTGGTGGTATACATGCTGTATATGTAGGTTATATGAATGTACCTTAAGATTTAATATTTTTGAAAATATGTACGTTACTTTTTATTTAATGTTTCTCCTTGTTCACGATGACAGAGAGAAGTCTAAATATATTCAGCATTTACTAATAGTTACCATGTGCAGTTTTAATTTCTACTGCTTCCTCCTGAAGTGCCGAAAGTTCAGTGTCCCAAATTTTTATTTGTCTGCCTGTCTGTCTTTTTTGTCATGAAGTTGTGTTGATGCTGTTGCACTTTATCATTCTGTGAATGAATGTAAAGAAAGTTGGTGTTAAATGAGACCAATGTTGCTGTCCGATGTGAAATCTGGTTAAGAGTGGGACAAATGTGTAGCTGTTTTTCTGTTTCAAAATGGAAGTAAAAACCCTGTAAAAATAATCGGATCACTGTTTTCCTGTCTTTTACCATTGTTGGGCTGTGAAGGTCCAAAA